GCCTGGTGGCCGCCCGCCTGCGCCGCGTGGCCGATGAGCTGGAGCAGCGCGCGGCGCGGGGCAAGGCGAGGGGCCGGGGCCCGAGCTGGGCCGGCCGCCGCCTGGCCGCCGCCGTGTGCCTGCTGTGCGCCCTCACGCCCGCGGTCGCGCTGGCCTGGCTGATCCGCAGGAGGAGCCTCTAGGCGAGACGGGCGCCGGCCGGAGCGGGGAGCAGGCGGGACGCGCAACAGGTCGGCACCGCCGCGGGACGGGCGGGCGGGGAGGGGCGGCGGATCGCGCTGTCCGCGGTACCCGGCGCGCTTGACAGCGGGGAGTCGGGGAAGGCAGCGATCTCCCGTCCTCTCTTCCCTAATTTCCCCTTCCCCGATTCCCCCTTTGCCCTTTCCCTAATTCCCCCTTTCTCCCTCCCCAAACTTTCCCTCTCCTGTCTCCTCCCCCCAGCCCCGCTCCAGCCCAAGGAACGTAGGACCCACCGCTCTCCCCCGCGTCCCGCACCAGCCGGTGCCGTAGGACATCACTCCGGAGGCGCAGCACGGATCTCAGCCTGGCTGTTCCCGGCTCCGTGCATTGGGTCATGCTCTGCCCAAGGCGAGGGTTCCACGCCAGGGAAAAAAAAAACATTCAGGTGCAGTTGGTGAAGGTTCCCGGAACCTCCCCAGCACTGCGCAGATCGGCAGCAGGGCAGTGGGGGGCAGCTGCTCCCTAACGTTGCTGCTGCCCCAATAACATCCCTGAGCTGGCTGGGACAGCCCTATGCCTCTTCCCCAGCACTGCCGGGCACGGGTGGGGAGCAGAGTGCAGGAGGAAGGTGTTTGTTACACAAACAGCGGGGACGTGCACTGGGTGCCTCGGAGTGCAGGGCCTTGTGGGGTCATCTCAGGGATTTGTGTGCTCTGCTTTGGGACAGAGACGTAGGAGCGGAGCTGTGAATCCTTTTTCAGGTGCTTTAAATTAAAAATGTGTTCAGGTTGGGTATTAGGAGATATTTCTTCTCCAAAAGAGTGGTGGTGCAGTGGCACCAGGTTGCCCAGGGAGCGCTGGGGTCACCATCTCTGGGGGTGTTCCAGGAAGGTGGAGAAGTGACACTGGGGGATGTGGTCAGTGGGCACAGGGGGAGTGGGCTGGGGTTGGACTTGGGAATCTTATAGGTTTCCAACCTTAATGAACCCATGATTCTATGAGAAGTGAATGCTTCCAGTGCCAAGCAGCTCGGGTAGGATTTAGCCAAGACCCTAAAATAAAGCAGATGAAAAATGCCACTAATGCTGCAGCTGACTTCTGACAGTGCCTGCCTGGGCTGCATGCAGCCACAGGCGGTCCTGCACAGGCAGGAGCGGGGCTGCTGGTGCTTGTGAGGTGTAACGGGGTACGATTAAACACAGATGTTCAGTGTGGGGAAATGCGTGCTTGTCTCGAGAGTTGAAAAGCAGGGGCTTCAGCAGGGTGTGTGTGCAGCACGGCTGGGCTCACCGCTGCCCTCCGCTCAGTCTGCCTGCGGCTCAGTGGGGTGCCTTGCAAAGATCTCTTTGGCAACAAACCCTGTGTTTTGTTTGAGTGAAGCAGAGCTTCCATCTGTAGGGGACCATCAGAGCAGGGGGGTGAGGCTTCAGGGTAGCGCCCTCAAAGAGCTGGGCAGTGCTGCGGGGCCGGGCTTGGGTGCTGCCTTCCCTCCCCTCGCTTTGCCTGATGGCAGCAGTTGGAAGTGAAGCCAGCCGTGTGGTGTGCGTGAGCCTGTTTGTGCTCAAGAAAAGTTGGAATCCGCGGGGAAGTGCAGTGCTCTCCGTTATCTGGTGCTCTAGTGTATCTAGTGTGCTGCTCTCCTACAGCTCAGGGAATTCCCTTGCCTGGTGCGGAGCAGGGGTGGGTGGGAAGGAGCCCAAGGCTGTTGGATTTCAGGTTTCTGTGCAGGTTTGCATGCCGTTGGCTATGTGGATTTTTCTCCTGATCTCTTCTGTTGTCGGCCCTGCACAGCCCTCACCCCTACTGGCTGTGTGCACACCAGGCCCAGCAGAGCCCAGGTGCTTAATGTGGCTTTGAGGAAGACGCAGCAGAAAAGTGAAGTGCTACCCTCAGCACATCGTGCTCGAGGAGGACAGAGCAGCCAGGTGTGGGGCAGTAAGAGGGTCTCTGTATGGCCCTGTGCATGGTGCAGCCCTGACTGCTGGCATCGTATGGCTGAGCTGCACTGCAACTCCAGAGTGATAAACGCGTCCTCTACCTCTCAGTTCCTGTGCTATTTCTGCCACTAATTTGTTTGTTCTTCTTGAGTAGCACTTTGCTCACACGATGAGATCAGCTGATTGAAATGTCTCAGAGCCAAGTGGTAGCAGAGTGCAGTTGGGTTAGGTGTGAACACCACAGGTATCTTTCTGCCATCCTCAGAGACGCTCCCGAGTGCCGATAACTTCATCCTCTAACAGGATGGGAAGCCTGGGCTCTGAGCACTCGTGGTCTTGCATAGTACAGCTCCTAAGATGAGAGCAACTTGTATGGTCTTGGGAGCCGTCCCTTAGGGTTGGGAGCAGGGCTGGAAGCTGTTCCTCAGGGCTGGATGTGGCTGTGCAGCTCAGGACAGAGCCCCCTGTGCCAGGGAACTTCTGCTCCCAGCCGCAGGTGATGGCGGAGGAGGGAGGATGGGGCCCTCTGCATGTGACCGATGTTTTGTCTCTGTAACCGTGCTTGGGATGTGGAGATGAAGGCTTTGTAAATGGCAGTTTGATAATCTATAATCTGACATCACCTTGAAATATCCAGCCAGGGCATGAAGTGTAGTTGTCAGTGCCAGTTTGGCATACAATGTCACTTGTATTTCGCTCTATTAGTTCAGAAGTGGCAGTGTATTAAAATCGAACCCTGCTCGTCCCTGCCAGCTCCAGCAGCCTGGTGCTGTGCCCGCCGTGCTGCCAGCAGTTCCCCTGCTGTTTGCTGCTAGGTTCATGCAGAGCCACTCTGTCCAAAGTCTCAATGCAGTTAATTATCTGTGTTAAAATGGGGTTGATAAGATTTCTGGAGATGTCACACAGAGCGGTGCAGGAGTGCAGAGA